GTTGTGGTCATTCTGTAGCAGTGGCTCTGTGTGGGCCTACAGATAAGAGCCGGGCCAGATCAGCTCAGCCAGCAAGTGACTGCAGAGTACACCTGTGCTGGCAGGTTCGGACCGTCAGGGACAACTGGAAAAGGCTGTTTCCTTAACTATAGACCTAACTGACAAAGGGAATCATGTGCAGTGGAATGAACAAACAGAGCAAGGGTGACAGTGATAATGTGTAACTGTATTATACAGAGGGTTTTGTTTGTAGTTATTCGTGGCCTTATGGTTGGGGCTCTAGCTCCAGATGAGTCTAGTCTACTAAAAGTTGCCCACCATCCTAACCTTTATATTTGTCATACAAAGTTAGAGGTGGAGTAAATAAGAAAAATATGTTTTTAAAAGGTCAAACCTGAACAAAAAAACAAATGGCGGTGATATGCACAGGCATTACATTCCTAGAATATAATGTTAAGTTAAAAACAGAAGGAAACAGCAAAATAAAGAAAAAAAGCAGAAATAAAAATTGATATTAAGCTGATATCTGTATGTTTTTGCAATGAATATTAAACAGTGGTTTCATGTCTGGGTATCTAGTAAAAGCTATCAGGTTAGCGACACTTTATAGAGGAAATATTTAAAATCACAACTCCCTAAGTAGTTGGAATACTATTAGAGAAAATGTAGAATTGTAATTTACACATTTGTGAAATGTGACACATCACATTATGAGGCTGTTAGGGCTCAGTTTCTGAGCAGAACATTTAATTTATGCACATGAACTTAACTTCCAAGTACTCTTCTTAAATTGTCAAAATCCTGCATAATGCATAACATTTACTCTAAAGGCTTGAAAAACAACATAAGGGATGCAGTGCTACTGTATATATGATGCCTGTTTATCCAGTCTACTATGCTTTATTTAAAAGTGTAGGGCTAAAAACAGTGAATGCATGTGGATGCATTTTTCTTTCATGCTGATAGGCAGATGCTTCCACAAACAGAGCAGTAGTTAGCGTTAGTTGTTCATAAAAGATTAGTAATCAACAATTAACATCTGCCTGCTGTGTATTTATAAAGGAGAGGATAAAAAAAAGGTGTAAAACATTTCTAAGACTAGAAAAGCACTGGGAGAGCGCAGACCACTGCCAAGCAGTACATTTTGACCCATATTGTGACTTAAAGCTATAGCTAAAAATGCATGTGATCTGGATCATCACCAAATGTTAATGAATTGTTCCTTGGCATGAGGTGCACCTTTGGAAACAATTTTCTTTAAATCCTTTCATAAGTTTCTAAATAAGGCTCAGCATACAGTATGCCTATAGCCTCTGGTGTCTGTTCTGCTCTTGCTGTCTTCTTTTACTCTGTTTTTATGTTTGATCAGCAGATCGACACGTGTCTCACCTTTCCTGTGTTTTTATCTTTAATATAATACTTCTGGACTTCTTTGACTCAGATGCTGAGGTTGTGTATATTCACTACTGCCACTCTCTGGTTTAGGGGGGGAACTGCTTGTATGGCCAAATAATGTTAAACAATCCTTAAAAAATCCTTGCATCCTGATTATGATGTGGATCTTCACCAAAATTGAATGAATTTTTCCTAGACTGAGGTGCACCTTTGGTAGAAATTTAATTAAAATCTGTTCATAACTTTTGGAGTTATCGTGTACACAGACAGACAAACAAACACACATAAACTCAATGAAATACATAACCTCCTACGCAGAGGTGATGATCAGAAGCTGTAGTGCTGTCTGGTGTAGAAGCATATTAGGGATTAAATCAGGAAAAAGGCTTCCTACAAACAGAAACCAGTGAATAATCAGTGAGATATTGGTGTTCCTAATTATGTGACTGAAATGCTAAAAAAAAAAAATTGCAAATCCACCTGTTTTTGTATCTTTATGATATCTCTACAAGAAATGTCAAAACATACAGTATTTAGGATTTTAGTTAGGACCTTGACTTAAAGGTCTAAAAAAATATATTAGCATATTTTTGGTCATCCAATATCTCCATATACAGTAAAAAACAATACAAAACCCTACGAAGCCAGTCAAAAAAAATAAATAAATTATGTTTATATCTTAAAACAGCAATGACAAAAGTATTATTTGAGCATTTTTTTCTTGTATGTATTTATTTTCTTTCCAAAACCATTGAAGGCCCCACCCTTGGTGTTTTCTTAGAATTTAGTGCATACTTTGCAGGTTGAACTCCGAAGGAAGACTTTGACAAAGGCATACAATATAAATGCATCTAAATGTATTCATAACTTCTCATTTTTTCTATAATTTATTCTGATAATCTTATTCTAAAACTGTTTTTTTTTTCTTTTTAATCAATAATCAGAAATCCCTATGCATTAATGGAGTGGTGAAAGGTTCAAATCAGAGCATTTTTCTAAAAGATGTGAACAATCTTGTGTGACACTGAAAAGTCAGTGGATACTTGTCTACAATCAATGTAAGAAAATAAAAGTTCTGAATAAACTTTTTTCCACCGTATTACTATCAGATATAGACAATTAAAGCAAGCAGACTTGGATATTCCTGAAGATATCCCTACTGCTGAGGTTTGAACTAAAACATTCCCATCATACATTAAAGGTCTGACCTGTGTTGTGAACATGAATACTTTTGGATTTAGTTTTTTTTAAGCACAAAGAACAAAAACATTTTATGAATAGATTTATTAATTTAGAATACAGCTTTAAGACATTTCTCCAGTACACCACTCCTATCCCCTTTCTCTAATACCTTTGTTTCCAATGTTGTGAATGTGATGAACTTGTTGTCTACTGAAGTGAAGCAATGAAATGACGGACAGATGTGTGCATGATCCTATAAAGATCAAGGTAGGGCAAGCAGTGTCACATCCGATTCCTAGCAGGTCTGAGGAACGTCCAGTCCTTGACACTCGTCCAATCTAAAGCTATCGCAACCTCTCCCCTCCAGCTTCAGGCTCACTAATCTCTCCTGACACCTTACACAGCTCCGATAGGGAATCAGTCTCCCCTGAAAACAATCCAGCACTCCTCCCTCGTCACCCCAAATCGGCACCAGCATGCCTCTCTGTCTGTCTGTCTTCCTTAGATTTCACTTTGCCCTCCTCCTCCCCATCCATTCCCTCCCCATTACCTCTCTCTATAGCCTACTCTTTCTCTCGCATTTCCATCTGTCTTTGTCAAACTATATTCTGCTCCTCGCCTATCTTTCCTCCCCCCGTATATTCTCCTCCATCCTCACTTTCTCACTGGGTATATCTTCCCTCTGTCGATGGGAATCTGCTAAAAGACACTGTGATTGCCAGCTGAGGAATAGCCTGCTTTCACTTAGGGACTCATCTCCATTCAAAGCTCTTTTTTTTATTTAACTTCACCACTTTCTATACTTGGAAGGTCATTATCTGCAAGTGCACCTTTTTCCAGATGTAGATAATCTCCAGGAATAACTTTGGGTTGAATAAACAGTAACATATCTTCCCAGATGCCCCTCACCCTAAATATACTTCCCTCCATTGAGGCAAAAGACAGACAAGGGATCTGCAGACATTTTTTTATTATTATTATTATGTTTGCTCTGTGAGCCCATTAATAAGATTCAGCGCTTACACAGAACAAGACACACAATTTTCCAGTCATAATGTTTGCTTTAGCTAGTTAGTCTCGCCGACTGAATGAGATCTTTTGAAATTCATTTTTCCTAATTAGTGTATTTGGGATTCAAGAACTCTCTTGAGACGAGTCACTCAAAAAAAAAAAATAATCCCATTTATTATTTAAATGTATTCAACAGTTCCAAAAAGATAAGATAAACAAGTCATAGATTTCAATTAAAAGCTGTTTGTTCTTCTCCTCTTATCTACAGAGGCTCCACCCTAAAGAACGCAATCTCATTGGCTGATGGATTAAATATCTGTCATTGGCTGTAGCAAAGAGTACTGCAACTCTGGAAAAAAAAAAAAAAAGGAAAAAGATGTCACATGGTAAATGGCAGACACGCACCAACATGCTTCACACACTCAGACACGCAATCATGAGAGACAAACTTACCAATCCAATCAGTTTCACTCTCACACAAGCTGTCAGGCCACTATGTTCAACAGATCTTACCATAATGCTTGTACGTCACTTTGTATGTAGCTAATGAATGGATGACTTCCCACAAAAAACACTGAAACAAGAAAATTGTGCACTCACTGTTACATTGCCCTAATGCCTTCTTTACCTCCCCATCTGTTGGACTCTCCCTTCTGCCCTCTGCACCAAAAGCCAGATTTTTTTTTCCCTTGCTGCCTAAGAAAGCTATGAGCTCACCGTGGCACAAAAGAACAAAGGATCAGTGCTATGCAACCCCTGAATCTTAAGATTTCACTTCTTCACATGGCTTGTTGTGCCAACTGGAGCATCAACACGAAGCCACAACAAAGAAAAGATTATTTAAAGTCTGCTTTAATCCGAAGAGACGCAGGACATAGTGTGAGAGTGCAAGAAACAGAGTGAGGGGGCATCGTCTATATGAGATGTTACCTTTTCCATATATATTGAAAGTGCAGGATGTATAATTATTCTCCACATGAATAATACATACAGTAGATACCTTGTAATACCCAATGATGAAGAAAAAACACCCACCGCAATAAAATACTGAAAGTCTTAATTTAAATATTTCTTTTCCAGCTCTTAGATCTCTTATATGCATCACAAATAACATCTCTCATTCAAATAGGATATCTTTACAACGGACAAATATATTCCTTTTTTTCTAAATCTGTTTTGTGTAGAATATTATGCATGTCAACAAAATAAAATCACAATCAAGGTAAGTTTGCACGGAACAACACTACATGTTTCAGTCAGTCTCGTCCATTGAAGGTCCAGCTGACTGCTTTCACTGTGGAGTAAAGAGGTGGAATCGTCCACTTTTGCAGGGTTGTTGTTTCTGTTGATATCTCTGTGCAATGGAGCAGGGCTAAAGAGGAGAGACACTGTAAGTGAGGAGCTTCGGGCAAAGGGTGTGGAAAACCAGCAGAACTAACACCCCGCTCCTCCCTGGCCACCTGCTTGCTGGTCTCAGTGTGTCCTCTGGGAGTTTTCCATCCGGGCTTGGCTGCGGAGCCAGGACGTCTTGGCTGATGGATATGAAGCAGAGGTGACTGCGATGATGGAGAGAATTAGGAAAACTAGAGAGCATTCTGGCTTTTTTTTAACAAACCCAAAGCCTCCCCCCACCCCCACCCGTGGTCATGAAACTGTGTCTCTGAGTATCTTCCTTTTTTGACAGTCTCTTTGTCTGTTTGTTCTCAGTCTGCGTAGAGGATGAAGCCAGAGAAGGTGCTGTACTTGTTGTTGTTGCCGCCATGGGCTTTGCCTCCATCTAATTTGATGTACACCTCATCGCCTGCGTCCAGATGGAGGATGACACTGTTTGAGGCGTAGTCGTAGTTCTGGTCAGCGTCTTGAGCAATAGCGCTTGCACGAACCTGCAGAAATACAGGGAGATGGAAAGGCTTATTGGTTACTCCATGTTTTCATATGTGTATATATAAATATATCAATCTACACAGCAACAGAATCAGACGTAATACGACATTAGAAACCCAATTTTAAATCTGAAATATAATACCTGTTTGGATCAGACATACTTTCTTTTATATACATTTAACTGACATAAAGACTGAAGGCAGGTGGAACAGTCTAAACATAATTTTTTTTTTATTTTGTTTAATGAATTAAAAACTAATACATGCAATTCAGATTGTGGCACCATAAAACAATGACATTAAAGCAATTTATAAGCATTCAGAGTTTGGATCTGGATCAATTTTTTAGAGGTTTTTTATGGAATTTACACAAATATGAAGAAATTAAATACATTAGAACATATTGCCATTTTGTATTGTCTGAGTTGTAAAAAGACTAAATATTATTTTACAACAAATGCCTGTTGGTATTGGAGGTGTCATTGTCCTATTTTCATTATAATGAAACAAAAAGATGCACCAAGGAAATATTAAAGATAGCATGTTTCCCTAACATATGTTAAAATGATACACTCAAGAAAAAAAGTTTGCATTTCAAACAAACAATGGCATACTTTGTTCAAAACTGCTAATTGAAGCTAGATCAGTATTTCAACTTTTTGATTTTTTTGCAAACTGCTTAGCAAAAAATGTTAACCCATTTATTATTTTCACAACTCATCACATCATCTACAAACCTCAGGTGTTTTCTGTGTGATATTTACAAAGTCAGAAAAATTGTTTATTGAGAAAAGGAAGACAAGTTAAAAAATTTAAATGTTTATTTTTATGCATCCTGGTGAAATAAATTTATTGATTTGGTTGCAACTTCAACTTCATGTTTTGCTTTATTTCTCCCTACTCAGTTATCCCACAGTCTGTTCAAACATCCCCATGTTTTACTTAGGATTCCTATAAGAGAAAAACACAAAGCAGTTCATCATTATTAAGTTCCGGGCAAATAACTAGTTTGTTTAGTTTTTTTTTATAAGAATTTATAAGAATTACAGCCCAAAACATCTGTGTGCATCAAACTGAGTCAAACCACCTCTGGCTTCAATCGCAGCTTCAGATCTTTGGGATATGATGTTTTTGCAGAGCTTGGAATTTTTGTCTGTTCTGGTTTGTAAATATAGCTTAAGCTCTTTTAAATTAGGTGAAAAGCAGAAGTATATCTATCATGTCATGACACAAATTCATAAATGATTGTTGGTCTGGGCTTTACTGGCCCCCTTTTCCACATGAAAGTGTAAAGATCAGAGCCATGATATTGTTGCTCTGTAGCTCTCTGTAGATTTAGGGTCACATTTTTGGCCTCACCTTAATCTTAAGTCTATTACACACTAGGATTTGTTTTTAGGATTCCCAGTGTTCAGCTTCATCGTATGGGCAGCTTCCCTGTCCACTTGGAACAGAAGCATCCTCACAACATAATTCTGACACCGTCTTGATTCAAATAGTTCCTTTTTATGGTAAAGATTTCATGGCGTCTGATGAATGCAAATGAAATCCAAAAACCTAATCTAAGACTTTGACAAAGAATATAAAAAAAATCCTCTAAATTTGTTGACTCTTGAAAAGTTTAAAGTGTGGAGTTAAAAGAATTACTGGACATTGTAGAAATTTAACCCACAGGACCTACAGGAGGGACAGTTAAACCTCAGGCCTTTCTGTCAAGCAGATTTATGGTTTCAATTGAGCCAGTGGTCTTTCATAAAGGAAAGGAAAAAAAAAGAAGACAGAAAAAACATACTCAGGTTAAACCTTGGAACAAAAGGTCTAAAGAAAGAAACAGTCAGAAGCTCAAGGGAAAAAAAACGACTGTTTTTTTCACCACGAAGGAAATCACTCAGAAAAACATTTTAAAAAAAAAGCAAAAATAAATAACAACCAGGGATCTCTCTTTTACGCCCAACAGGAATATGTGATAACAACTAACAAGCAATGATCTGCATAATAAATGAGTTAAATAGAAGCCATTTTTTTTTCATCTGTGTTTGCTCACATAGCTGTTTCTGTGACAGTGAGTTTGAGCCTGACTACAGGGCATTTGGTGCAGCTTCTCAGTATCCTGTCCTGGGTAATTAAGAGCTCTACTACAAACACTCAGCATCTCTCTGGAGAGGAAGTCTCTGTGCCACACAATCCCTAAAACAGAGCTTATTCCAATGCATTTGGTTTCTGTATAAGGGGCAAAAATCAACACTTTGTGGCATATTTTACATATGACAGCTGCAGCATACAGTGTAGGGATTTTATGTTAAGCTGATGCGTAGAGTGTGAAGACAATGCACAACTTTGTGTCTATTTTTTCCCTAAATTAAAATGACTTGTGAAAAAGAAAAAGTTTAGTTTCTGGTATCACTGTTTGTCTTTTTGTTGGATAATGTTTGCTCACATTAAGGTACCTTAAAGAATGGATTTTTAGGTAAATAAATGCTACCACTGCCTTTTAAACCAACTTTAAATTTACTTAAAATTTATCTAAAATTACCTATATAAAAAATTAAGTTTTCTTGGGATATCTATGTCCAATAGCATTAAGCTCACTCCTTACTTTACTCCTCTTGGACATTGGCAATGTTTGCTAAAGGACAGATATAGATAATCAATGACATTGTGCACTGCAACAGTGCCACTTGATCCCAGTCCAGTTTAACATCAATATATAATGAAAACCAAACTGAAAGCAATAAACTTCTGGAACAACTTAGATTTGAATTTATTTAAAGTGCAGCCAAGTAAAGTTTAATTGAGTTCAGTTAATTTCTGTGCATAACAAACTTGTAAAACAAAGTAATTGAGAATTTATCACTTTGGCTGTCTTTGACTGCAGTAACAGAGAAAAGAGGAATACATCTGCTTCCATGTTCCTCCATGTTCAGTAGCGTTTTCAATCTCAGGAAATCCAGCAGAATGCTTGGAGTCATATACTTTGCAGAGTTCACACCTCCTGGACCAGCATGTAGTTTAACATGCCTTTGTAATATTGGATAGCCACTTGCACTGGGTTTATGGATTTTGCAGCAATTCTACATATTGAAAATGTACAAAGCAACAGTAGAGAGAAAATCATTTCACAGCAAAAAAACACTTTAGTGTGAATGACCTTCTGTCTAGTCTGGGTTTGAGAAGATCAGTACAAACACAAACACAAAAAAACACAGCAGCCATAATGCAGGAGTAACTTCTACAGTATGTGAAAGAAACACAGCTAAGCAGATAAGTATTTAATTGGAAACAACAGAAAGAGCAACTCATTTACTGAGCAGCAGATTCGTAGAAGTAAGCTGCAGATTTTTCACAAGGGTGGCATCAATTTGTCCTTTGTATGCTGCACAATTGATCCAAATATGAGTTAAAATTTGATGAAATATACTTCTTATTTAAGCTAGTTGGTAAGATTATCTACCAATATATTTCACACAAATTAGATAAATAAATATATGTTTAGATCAAGCATCAGCACTTAAAACTTCCTAACTGTAAAATTTTAATAGTTTGCAGTCTTTACATTTATTTCTAATCATTTCCAAACTGCTTTTGTCAGTATAATTACATCCTTTAACATTTCTGTTGCTCTCTTCACATAAATAATAATGTAATGTGGCCAAAATCTCATAAAAGCTGCGCTCACCTCTATATTATCATGTTTTAGTTGCCAGAAAGCAAAAGAGGGTGAAATTTCCCACTTCTTAGATGCCTGAGATTTTTATTCCTTTTTAATAGATGTTAAATATCTTAATGTAATTTGCAGACAACATATTACTATTATTTTTGACTATACTCAACATCACAATTTTCAAAGCCGATGGTTGAAGTCAGAGGCATTGATAGGATCCTACAATGAAATGAATAAAACCTAGAGCGCCATGCAATTTCTGTGCCTGTATGCTGGAGTTTTACATCACTTTAAACTAACTTGAACAAAAAAGCAAATGTGCACAGCTATACAAAGTTTTTAAATAATTTGATTAATTCTTTGTTTGGGGACTAAGCCAGGATTTATCATTAACTTTTTTTAAAAGCATCCCAAAGCTATTGTGAGCTTATTGTAAATAATGATTTTACCATTCCCATCAGTTTAAAAAAGTAATTAAATTAATAAAACCAATTTCAAACCAGTCAAGTTAAACTAATATCCATTATGACTGGGACCAGACTATTTCAGCAAAATAAAAAATGAGAAAAGAATGGTTAAAGAAAAGAGCATTAGTGTCTTAGTGTTATCAGTGTCTATTCTTTTGATCTGCTTTAAATTTTCTCCTCTTATGGTTCATTAAAATGTCAACTGGTTACGATAATTTCCCCTTAGGCCTGAGTCTGTTCTTGTCTTTCCTTTGTGTCTTTGTGTTGCACTGAGATGAACTGGCGACCAATGTGGCTTTCTCCTTTTACCAAATGACCATTAGAGACACAAACCAGCTCATTAGGCCCTATTAAGATTAGCTCAAATGGAAAATAGATAAATACTCTTACAGGAAGATTGTTTTATGATTTTAATATTTTAAAAAAGATGTTTCCTTTATCAAAGATGAAGCCTTCTAACCTATGGATGAATCTGCTTAGTTCTTCTGTCTCTGCAGAACAAGAGGGAACTTTATGTCCCCTAAGAATCTCAGCTGTACTTCTCTAACTTAGGAAAAACCTACAGTTACTGCATGACTAAAGAACGAAGACACTTTAAGAATAGTCAGCAGCTACCTGTACCCAAGAGCATCCAGCTCCACAGCCTGCACAAGGACCCATCAACCAGTGTGTGTAGTCAAGCTGTCACATGTGCACAAACTGCTGAGCACCATGTCCAGTGTGTCAGAAGTTTTTCTGAAAAGGACACTGCTTTATTTCCTTCAAAGGATCTGGGGCTATTTAAGAAACATCTGGGGCCTCAGTGCTGAATGCCCAGATCTCAGTACTCCACAGTCAGGTTTAAAGTTCCTGGAGAAGTTTACTTTATCAAT